TTATACCTGATGTAAATGACGAGTTGATGGGTGCAGCACACCAACATGGCACAAGTATACATATGTAGCAAACCTGCACGTTGTGCACATGTACCCTACAACTTAAAGTTTAATAATAATAAATAAATTTAAAAAATAAATAAATAAATAAATAAATAATTAAAAAAAAAAAAAAAAAGAAATTCCGAGTCTGCTAGAAAGCATTTTCTTGCCATAAATATATCAACTTTGTTAGACGTTCACTTATGTCAATTACTAATTCAACCACGTTACTGCTATGTCTAGTTCATTAGATAATTAGTTAGATAAGTGGGACAACCTTCATGTATTAAATGTAGTTTCTTGTTCTAATGCAGAGTGATCAACCCTAAAAATGACCTGCTAATAATGTAAAGTATCTGTAGAGATGTTATAAATATCTACAATTATGATTTGTGCTGAGCTATTTAAATAAAAGAACATAAGGATTATAAACCCCATCATATGGGTTACAAATCATTTCAAAATTACTTTCAACTAAATTCTGAAGACAGTGAAGTCAGATGATTCTTAATTCAGTAGTCTTTTAATCAACTCTTTAGGCATGGAGTAATTGATTTTGTCTACAGTATCTTTTACACTAAATGTTGTTCCTTATTTTTGTTTTTTATGCTAAGATATCCCTTCTGAAGTTTGTGCGATAGAGCTTTTAGATGAAAGAAAAGCCTGAAATGTTGGCTCGTATAATATACATGCTCTGCTAGATGAACTTTTTCCTAGAGTTTTAAAAGGGAGGTCATGAAGACACTGAGCTCTAAGACAAACTTGTCCCAGCCACTATCCTGTCCATCATTATTTCTACTTCCTTTAAGTCCAGAAACATCACCATCCAGATGTGAGCCTCTGGGTCTGTTTCCTTTGTCTTGCTAGGGAAGACGAGCACGCCCTCATCCAGCAGTATTGCCAGACACTCGGAGGAGAGTCCCCGGTGAGCCAGCCACAAAGCCCAGCTCAGATCCTGAAGTCGGTAGAGAGGGAAGAACGTGGAGAACTGGAGAGGATCATTGCTGACCTAGAGGAAGAACAAAGGTGTGCTAGGCCTGGGAGAAGGAAATATGTCATCCTTTCTTTCATATGAATTTCACTGTAACCCCCATTTATTCTCTTTCCAAGACTATTGTCTAAGAAATCTCAGTGGAGTGAAAATTTGAGAGGACATTAACGAACTGGGATGCTGGCTGCAATACAGCAGCATTTGGGGGTTCAGTGATGATGTCTGCTGGGACACTTGCTTAAAACTACAATTTTATTCGTGCATGCTCATCCTACTATTAATACACGGTTTTATATAAGAGGAACTAGCATGAGCTAAATTTGAACTTCGCAGACAATTTTGGAGAGAAGATAATGCTCATAGTAGTAATTCTGTTTCTCCCTCTTTCTGTATTAGAAATCTACAGGTGGAGTATGAGCAGCTGAAGGACCAGCACCTCCGAAGGGGGTTCCCTGTTGGTTCACCGCCAGAGTCGATTGTATCTCCCCATCACACGTCTGAGGATTCAGAACTTATAGCAGAAGCAAAACTCCTCAGGCAGCACAAAGGTAGACTGGAAGCTAGGATGCAGATTTTAGAAGATCACAATAAACAGCTGGAGTCTCAGCTCCACCGCCTCCGACAGCTGCTGGAGCAGGTAGGTGTGTAGAATTCAGTGTCACACCTCCCCAGGCCAACTGTGCACTGCTGGGACATGGTCCAGGTGTCAGGAGAGGCAGACAAGTCCACTTTCAATTTCTTACCTCTGTAGTTAATTTAGACTGGCTTAGAAATTTCCTTTTACATGTAAGCATATACATCCTCACTAGCACACAAAAATGTGTTTGCCCAGCTTACAATGGAATTTCCCAGTCTTGTTTAACAATGAAGTCTGCCTCAGCTCTGAACTGTTTGAGAGAAAATATCCTACGACATATATCTTCCTAAATTATACCTGGGAAGCCTCTGTATTAAGGAGCAGCAAGAGACCTGAAATCAGCATTAAAGCTTTCTTCCAGTGAGACAAGACTGCTAACTCCAAGAATCATTGTTTTTTATTTTCAAGAAATTGAGTAAAATATGGTTATTAATTTGCTACTATTATTTTCTAACACTGGACCATGTTTTATGGGAGTTGCTTGCAAGCTTTCTGAACGATAAGAAATACAATTTACATTATGATGAATACATACATGTATGGAGAATACAAAATAATACTTGCCTTTATAGAGAAATGCCAGCTCTTATTTTCTGTTTTCCCTTTCTTCCTTCCTCCCTTTCTTCCTTCTATTTTTCTTTCTTAATGCTGGTCAGAACCTACTAAATTGATTCTATAACTCATCAATGAGTTATTGCATTCAGTTTTGAAAAACACTGTTCTTTGGGATATAAAAGAAGCATCAATACAGTTTCTGCCTCTCTGGTGCCTGCCATCTAGTTAGAGATCACAGCAAGATACTTTCATATATAAAGATACAGCACACTGCAGGGATTTAAGTGCTTGATGGCACATAGTAGTTAGGAATAGGAGTGATGTCTCAGAACTAGTGATGGAGAGACCTTTGCAGCAGGTGCAGAGACTGTAGAGTCCCAGCACAGGGGCCAAGAGCACCTCCCTCTTGAAGAATCCCTGACATCAACATGCATGTCATCTTTTGTCTTTCTCTCCAGCCTGTGCTGTGTGGAGCTCCTAGGCAGTATCCTAGGAGCGCCTTTCTCCAGGAATGATTTATTGTCTCAAAGCAGGAACAACTTTCTCTCCAGTGATTCTCTCAAATTTTAGAAAACTACCTTTTCACAGTTGTTCTCAGTCTTTTTAACTTATCAGGATAATTCAAAACAGTGTCATTTCTGCCTTACCTACACGTGGATCACTCTTTATAATCTGACCATACACTTTTCTCTATGTCTCTCAGTGTTTCAGAATTTGGGTGAGGCCGTTCAGTGGAAGGCTTACTTCGGGGCCTCCCAATCTCACATATTTGGAAAGTAAGAGTTTCCCAAAAGTGACCCAAGATGTGGGTTTCTTGAAGCCCTCCGGAATGTTTGAGTCTTACTTAGTGCCAGCCACATACATTGAAAAAGTTACATTTTTCATTCCATGAAATTGAAGTATCCGAATGGTGCTACGTAAGGGATGGATTTTCTCTTGCAATCTCTTGTTTAGAATATGAAGTGTTAGTGTTAACAGCTTAGTGCATAGATGGAATCGCTGCAGAAGGAAGCTGTGCTCAAAACCTTTATTTGCCATGGCTGGTTAATGCTCACAGGAGAGCAAAAGGCTCTTCTGTTCACTCTTGCCTTCCCCTACTCCCTCCATCCCATTAGACAGTGCTGCCTAATAGCTCATATGCCTTGAGAATCGCACAGTAATGCTTTTAGAGATAGCTGATATCCAAATGGCTCTCTATATCCAGGACTGCAGAGCTCTTATCTCTTCTAAACAATTTAGCATGATGAATGCCAGAAGTAGACGGAAAAATTCAACTCTGATAGTAAAAACTGACAGAACTACCAGGCTTCAACTAATATAGATTTAATGGAAAAAATCTGCATGAAAAAATTGTAACATCTGCATTCCCTATATGGTGGCTCGCACTTTCTAATTTGACTATATACTTGTCAGCATATCCATCACGGTATCAAAGATTTGTGTGAGTGCCTTTACGAAGTATTTACTAGGTGTCAGGCTGTTCTAACCATTTAAGAAATAGTCATTCTTCACTCCCCTCACAAAACCCTATAACACAGTACTATTATTACCCTCACCATTTTACAAGTAAAGAACTTAAGGTATAGTTTTCCCAGAATTACACAGCTTCTGAGTGGCAGAGTGGGAATTAGAATCCAGGCAATCTGAATCCATAATCATGCTTCTGACCACCCTTCAATATTGCCTTGAAATATAAGCTGATTTTGAAATTGAATAAATTTACTGTATTAGAAACCCAGTGCTGATATTTAAAATATGAGTGAAATATGCTTATGAATTCACTTAACATTAAAACAATAGAAAATTGAGGGACAAAAATGATATTGATAAATGAATCTTGCAGCATAACCAGGTGGATTCTTCAAGGTGTCCAAGCAGAAAGAGAAGGACCAAAGCCCCCACCACGCTGATGCTAAAATGTATTGAAAATATCTGAAGGCAAAAACCTCTATATGATTTAATTATCCATGGTGAGGGAGGGAAAGTTAAAAAGGAAATGTTTTTCCTTATGATTATTTGAATCTTTTCTCTGCTTTAACCCCTGAATGTGGTTCCAGCCTGAATCTGATACCCGAATCAATGGTGTTTCACCGTGGGCTTCTCCTCAGCATTCTGCACTGAGCTACTCGCTTGATCTGGATGCCTCTGGCGCACAGTTCCACCAGGCAGGTTGGTATCCCCAACACACAGCTCCTCTGCTGAGTCTGCTTTCTGCTTTGCCATTTGTTTGTGTTTCCTGTTAAGTAACATTCTTACACACTGGCGCCTTAGGAAGTAAGAGAGTTTTGTATTCGATCTTAAATAAGTGCAAATCCATTTCAACAATATCAGAAAGCAAACATTTTCAAATAAGCTATAATACACTTGTTTATATAATCTGTAGTAGTGGATTGAATTTTGGTGAAAGATGAAAAAACCTCCTCTTCCCTTTTAGAATGAACAAGAAATTAAATTATTTGCTTTGTGAATGATTTTTTTAGTACACTTTCTGTCTCCGAAATTTTATATTGGTACATATTCAGAACTAATAATATTATAGCAAACATTATTGTTTTCTCTGCCAAGGTCTGGAACTCATTTATTCACTTTTCTTCATCCTAGTCCACATAGACATTATCCTGCCTGTCCCATTAGAGGCAGAGGACCCATGCAGCCTATCCTTGGTCACCATGGGGACCTGTCACTGATGCTAGGAAGGACTCAGTAAACTAGGTGTTCACCAATGACATTTTGTTATCAATTAAATTAAAATTCTAGAATTTTATTGAGAACTATATATTGTAACCAAGTTAATTTGTTGGTTGGATATCTTTTGGTACATTAACCAGAAAAAATTTAAAATATTGGCCAGGTATGGTGGCTCCCGCCTGTAATCCCAGCACTTTGGGAGGCCATGGTGAAACCCCATCTGTACTAAAAATACAAAAATTAGCTGGGTGTGGTGGCACACACCTGTAGTCCCAGCTACTCAGGAGGCTGAGGCAGGATAATCACCTAAACCCGGGAGGCGGAGGTTGCAGTGAGCCGAGATCGCACCACTGCACTCCATCCTGGTGACAGAGGGAGACTCCGTCTCAAAAAATATATATATTAAAATATTAAGATTATTTTCATATTTTTTAAATAAGAGAATTATTTCGACTACTGATTATAGAATAGAAAATACATCCTAGTGAAAAGTATCTTACATAAGATGCCTTTACTTTTGTGGCAGGATAAACTGGCCTAAGCTGAAGTCTCCAAAAAGAAAGGAGGACAGAAAAAGAAATTGGTGGATTTTTTTTTTTTTTTTTTGTATGAAAAAATACCTGTGGTGCAAAAATAATAGATTTCTCATTCAAACACTGAAATAGTAAGACTATATTACTTGTTTTTCAGTCTCGTATTTTTCAGTCCCCTGGTGTGTGGATTCTTTCTACACAAACAAGCATCTAGTACATGTTCATTATATAAAATTATTTTACCAACACTCAAGCAAAAGTGTTTTGGGTATATTCCCCTAAAATTGTCCTTTGCAACGGGAACTCTTTTCACGTTGATATTTAGAGGCTGGTGGGAGCATTTCCTCCTGAATTTGAGTTTTAGTGGAAGGCTAGACATTAACTTGAGAAGCTTTGTTGTTCTCTGTATTTGCTGTCACAGCGGGAGAGGACTTGCTGACCCCACCGCATGACACCAGCACGGATCTCACGGAGGTCATGGAGCAGATCCACAGCACATTTCCATCTTGCTGCCGTGAGTAGGAAAGATCCCAACACCATAGCTGTGCGTGTTCCTTCCCTTTCTCTTTTTCTGCATGCGGCCCTTCGCCTTCTTCCTTAAGACAGCAAAAACCTTATTACAAACAGGACTGAATATTGTTTGAAAATAAGGCAAACATTATATAAGAAAATGAAGCTCAACCTAGATACTATCAAGTCACGGGAGTACAGTTGCAACAGAGTTCTGCTCTTTGAGATTTTTCAGTATGCCCGACGGGTGATCAAATGAAGACAAATAAAAATGAAGTCTGTTTTTAAGAAGAAATCATCCTCTTCGATGCAAGCTATCGTAAGGAACACATCTTAGTTCAAAGAAAAGCTTCCAGTGGCATGCCAAACAAGGCATGAAAATAGCCTTTCTAGTGTAATTCCCTCTGTTTTCTTCAAACATTGTTCTCCAGTGTCATCAGACTCTAGTGCAGAAAGGGATTATTTTCAGATTTTCCCTTTTTATTCCTGCTGGTTTCTTTTCTCGTGGAATAAAATAGTCATTGTATAAAGTCCAGACAATTTAAGGCATCATAGATTAGGACTTGTGAAATTTCCATCTGAACAACAAAGAGCCAGAAAATAACCAAATTCCGGGGGAAATTATATAATAATTCTTACTTATTCATTTTTTCCAAATGTTTTGTCTTCAGCTTCTTGCCACCTTGCAATTTTGGCTGAGCTCTCACCTAAAACACTTCTGGTATTTCTAACAGAATGTATACATACAAGTAAACTGTTTATATAAATAAATATATATATACACATACAAATATATAAATATATATAAATTACTCTGTGCTACAATTATATTTTAAATAATCTTTCAAAGGATACGAAGACATTATTTGTAAGTTTAGAGAGATTTACTCTTAAACTGATTTTAAATCCAAGGCAGTCACTAAAATAAGAACTCATGTAAAGCATAGCCTCTTATTTTACCCTTTTCTGTCATCTCCTTAGAAAATGCCATCCCAGGCTGGGCGCGGTGGCTCACACCTGTAATCTCAGCACTTTGAGAGGCCGAGGCTGGTGGATCACAAGATCAGGAGTTTGAGACCAGCCTGACCAATATGGTGAAACCCCGTCACTACTAAAAATACAAAAGTTAGATGGGCATGGTGGCATGCGCCCATAATCCCAGCTACTCAGGAGGCTGAGGCAGGAGAATCACTTGAACCTGGGAGGCGGATGTTGCAATGAACTGAGATCATGCCACTGCACTCCAGCCTGGGAGACAGAGCGAGACTATCTCTCCAAAAAAAAAAAAGTCATCCGAAATGAGGAAAAAGAGATTATAAATTATCAGAAGTGTAGATGAATAATATATATTTACTTCATTTAAAAATTATTTTATAAGACTTTGTAATTTTTAAAATGCCATCATTAGCAGAATGTGAAAACAGCTATTTAAAATATAGTTCTGGACCAGATGTGGTGGCTCATGTGTGTAATCCCAGCACTTTGGGAGGCCGAGGCAGGTGGATCACTTGAGGTCAGGAGTTCGAGACCAGCCTGATTAACATGGTGAAACCCCATCTCTGCTAAAAATACAAAAAAAAAAAAAAAATCAGCCAGGCATGCTGGCACATACCTGTAGTTGTAGTCCCACCTACTTGGGATGCTGAGGCATGAGAATCGCTTGAACCCGGTAGGCTGAAGTTGCAGTGAGCTGAGATCCTGCCACCGCACTCCAGTCTGGACAACAGAGTGAGACTCTGTCTCGAAACAACAGCAGCAACAACAACAACGACAAAAATAAATAAAAAATATATTTCTTTCTGAATTTTCAGGAATATTTGCCTAAAGATATATTATGGTTTCCACCAGCACATGAATATATCTATTTGTAGTTTGCCAGTGTTTTGTTTCCCAGGTTTTTATTTGTAGATTTACTCTGATGCTTCTCAAAGTTTGCAGAATCACATTTACACTATTTCAGTCTCCACACCCACATCCCTACCCCACAAAGCACATGCATGCATGTGCACACATATGTGCACACATATAGACACACTTTCGACTCTGTAGAGTCTCACAAAAGCTTAAGAGGATCAGTGAATGCTCACATGCTACCAGATTGTTGCTTATTTTCTAGGCTCTGTAACCACCGTAATAGACAAACTGATAAAAACTTGTTTATTAATTATAATTCAAGGTCAAATTTATTTAGAGGTTTTGATTTTCAGTTGTATGTTACTTAGTAAGTAGATAAAACCTCATCATAGTCTTTATGAGCCAGAATTAAATTCTTAAAGGAAATTACTTCTTAGTTCAGCTTGTACCTAAATAACCTTAATAATTAGTTGAAAACAAATTCTGTACATCAAAGCATGTTTAGAAGTTTTTATTTAAATATCATGGTGGACATTTTCAATTGTAAAAGTCAGTTGGTAGTGACAGCCCAGGTGGGAAATGTGTTTCAATATACACCTTGTAATAAATACAAAATATATAATTTCCATATTAAAAATTTTACTCTAAAAATGTAGAATTTTTTACAAGTTCCATTTTCTAAAGAATTTACTCTTAAATTTTTCTCAAAGTATATTCTGACATCTAGATTTTACAAAAGATTGACCCATGTGGCTTTAAAACAGAACATTATTAAAAATAAATAATCATAATTTAGAACAAAAATGAATTGTAAGAGGTAAATGTATGTATCTGTTTTTATGGCCTCCCTTTAAAGGCAAGTATAAAATTCCTATTTGTTGGGCATCTTGTTAGCTATTCGTTGATATTGGTTCCTGAGAGGAGTATACACAGTACCTTCAATGGGATCCACATCACAGAGATTCATCCTCTCCCCTGCATTGGTCCCATCTTCACAAATGTCATTCTCAGTGTTCAGAGAGTGGTTTATGGAGCTCTAAGATTCCTTAATGTTTATTAAGCTTGAATCACATTTGTCTAAAACTCAAAACCTACTGAAATGCAATGATTTCCTTTTAAATATGTTTGTATGTAAAATACCCATAGCCGTCTATTTGATAAAAAGCTGTTGGTTTAAAAGTATTGGTTTGGAGCAGCTGGCTTCGTGTTCTCATAGTCTTAACTATGCACATTCACAAATATTTATAATAGTCATAGTTTTCTGAATGAACATTACTAGTCATGTCTTCTTTTCAAGAATTCAAGCACATTCATGTATGAAATGATGAAAAGTGTATTTTAGAATCCTTTGAAATCTCCATGTTTTAAGTCTTGGCTTCTGAAAGTTCTGCTATTCATATTTTTTCTCTGGTATTATAAACATATACAAGATAGGGACAGCTTTCCATAAAAATAAAAGCTGAATTGACTTATTTATAAAATTGATACAGATTTTCATATTCTGCATATAATTATTAAAACTTTTAAAAATTGATGCAGAATAGAAATCATCATGGGAGGTAGACTTGGTGCCCAGTGCATGTTTCTTTCTCTTTTTTTTTTTTTTTTTGAGACAGAGTCTCACTCTGTTGCCCAGGCTGGAGTTCAATGGCACGATCTCGGGTCTCTGTAACCTCCATCTCCCAGGCTCAAGCAATTCTCATGCGTCCCCAAGTGGCTGGGACTACAGGCACATGCCACCATGCCCAACTAATTTTTGTATTTTTAGTAGAGATGGGGTTTCACCACGTTGGTCTGGCTGGCCTCAAACTCCTGGCCTCAAGTGAACCACCCACCCCAGCCTCCCAAACTGCTGGGATTACAAGCATGAGCCACCATACCTGGCCCCAGTACATGTTTCTGACTTGAGAAAATGATTACATTTTCTCGCTGGGAAGGTTTCCTTGAAGCATTCCTAGATAGTACTCAGAAGGTTTTGTAGGATTCATTTGTTCTTTCGTCCCTTTGAAGTTGCTCAGCCAGCAAATATTTTAATAAGCTTTTGTGATTCCCAAAGCTTACCAACCACCTTTGGAGAATTTATCTAAACAAATTGGATTGGCACCCTCCCAATGCCAAACCAATCCCTTGAGCCCCTGTAACTAATGAGAACTTTAAAAATGCTTGTCGCCAGCATACAATGAATTGATCTGCATGTTAATCTTGACTTTTATCCTTTATAGATTAAAAATTAACATGGCCCCAAATGAATTTCCACTCTTGGCAATCTTGGAATTAAAATGAAACTCTGTGTTCATAAATCCTAACTGTGTGAATTGCCTACTTTAATATAACCGTTTTTTAACTGTGTCTACACATTGTTGCACATAACACTTTAGAACTCCTTTGTCTGAATTAATATCCCAGTTGGTCCTGATCACATCCTTGAATTATGGCCTTTTAAAGTCTTTTTAAAATTATTTATGTTGAGTCTTAGAGCAGAGAAGCAAGCATTTCCGTCACTTCCTGGCAAGGAAATAAGGAAGGGGGTTTAACTGTACTGCCAATTAACAAATATGCATACTGACTGCAGTAACTATTTTTATTTTTTGGTATAAAATTTTTTTGTCCATTTTTTACTTATGTCCTTTAAATGTATAGAATACTGGCAGTAAGCCAACTAATTTTTGCTGATAGACCACCAAATGCTTTCAAAATTATTTTTGACCCACAGGCATATTTTTACTATGAATTGCCTATGTTTATTAAGCTTGAATGGCACTCATCAAAAACCAAAAACCCACTGCAGCGCAGTGATTTCCTTTTTAAAATATTTTTGTGTGATTTGTTCAGGCGAATACCCATAGCCTTTTATTTGATAAAAGGCTATAAGGTTAAAAGTATTGGTTTGGAGCAAAATGGATTAGACTTCTGTCCAGGGTTTGGCTACTTGTTATATTTGTTACTTGCAAGAGACGCATAACTCTGTCTGTTTTAAAAAGAGTGTGTAAACCTATGGTGTACTTAATAACAATTCAACTCAGCTATCCCCTGGACACTGTGGAGCTCCACTCTTTTCTCCTGGATGTAACTTACAGATCTGGTAGAAATAGGCTCCTTTTAACCTGATATCTCCCCCAAATACTGGGGCTCACACTTTCCCTCCAGAGGTTATAGGAAGGGTACTCTTCATGCCTGCTCTTTTTTTCTCACATAGCTCCCGGCACACAGCACATGGTCACTGATGTCCTTTCTCCCACTCAGCATAGAACAGTGAGAGATGGAAGGAGTGCAGCATGCTAGATGATTAGGGACAACTCTTATTTGACCAAGAACATATGTTGCCATTATTGGGGGACAGATCTCCTCTTTTTTCTCCCAGCATTGAGAACGAGATGGTCCTGTAGCAAAAGAGGGGATGAAAAGCAGATGTGTTAGAGAAGCGATGTTAGTGGCTGCCCTTGCAATGCCCGCCAGATCGTCTTCACTGCCATGGGCTCTGGAACCAAAAAAGAATTGAGCTATCTGTGTGGAAAGGAGAATTAGATGCCATATTCTAACTTCTCCAGTGTTCCTAACTGGGCCCATCCGAGGCACTATTACTATCCCAAGTGTCCAGAAGGACACAGACGATTAGGCCAGTGCTTTCCTTGATACAAGTACTTGGCCACCATTTTCCTGGGCCTTAGGGTCCAGGGTGTGTCAAGGGTGGGTCAAGGGAGGCAGAAACCAAAAACTTATGCCTCCAGTGGTCCCTTGGTCAGAATTAGTACTCAGTAAAGTAAGTAGAACATGTTCTGTTCTGATACAAAAACCAAATACACAGTGTGTTTTAAATAGGAAATGAGATTTTTTGCAAGACTAAATGCTCAGTAAATGCTTTAGCGTATGCACTAAATCTTAAATCACATGGGATATGAGAAACTAACCAGGAAAACTAGCCCTCATTGAAGCATTAAGCTGGGGAAAAAAAAATGTGGGGTTTTCCTATTAGCATCCATTTAACAGCTGGGCTATTATTACCCTATGTAGACTGATACTTTCCACGCGTTTGCGTGCCTGAAAGTTGGAACCAACAAAGTAAGGGAACTGCCATTAAGTGATTTCTTTTGTTTTCTCTTTCAGCCAATGTTCCCAGCAGGCCACAGGTAAGAGTTAATGGGTTGGTTGGCTCTATGTTACTGATCTCAACCTAGAGTAAGCAGATTATCCACCACTGATTTTACTCCTACTTTATTGTCCATGTAAATAAGTAAACTTACTTGACATTTAAATGTTAGTTGATTCTGTACAGCAGTTTGTCAGTCTGGGGGTGGGGGGTGGCTCCCAAGCCACAGATACAGAAAATACCATGTGTTTGATCCTTTGTGTTCTAACAGCTTTTTAATGGCATCTTATGTGCTACATAAAGTCACTCTAGATAGATTTGGCCACCACTGCTCTCTCAAATGTGTACTTAAGGTGGCTATCACAGAACACTGACCTAAAAAAAAAATGACTGGTACCACAGAGATGGTTTTGTTACTTTGAGGGGGAAAACATTTCAATTTTTTACTTAAAAATTTGCTGAGAACTGGTGGCAGCTATAGCCTTATGCCTTTTAGTATTTTCTATAAACCAAAAAGTGTATAGACAGGTCTCAATCAATTTAGAGGTTTACTTTGCCAAGGTTGAGGACACACCCGGGAAAAAAGAGACGTAAGTTTCATTAGGATTTGTAGCCTGTGTGTGGTTTTTTTGTTGCTGTTGTTTGTTTTTGTTTTTGTTTTTTGTTTGTTTGTTTTTGTTTCTGTTCCCCCCCCCCCAAAAAAAAAAGGATTTTGAGGACTTCACAAAAAGGAAAGAGCAGGCAGGAGGGGGTGGAGGAACAGTCAATTATGCATTTGTCTCACGCTCAGTAAATCTGCATTTTATGTAAGATAAAGTATGCCCAGAGTAGAAGAAGCAGTCAAATACGCATTTTTCTCAGGGTGGGCGGAGAGATGAGTTCTAGTCCTGCCTTTGTCCTGTAAAGATAAGCTGTTAATTCACATTGGGTGAAATTCAACAAAACTCTTTTGGGTAAAGATTTGGGGGCCCTTAGAAATTTTCTTGTGAGCAATTTGTGAGGGAGGTCACTGGCCTTCTATCTTTGCAACTATCTGTGTAGGAAGGTAGTTTTTGTGTGACTCAGTTCCCACATTTAATTTTTCCCTTTAGCATAGTAAGTTAGGGATCCTGAGATTTTGTTTTCCATTCACATTTTCTATCACATACTTTTAGTAATAATGTGCCACAAAGTCACAGCAGCTTTGGAGAACATTTTCTTTCATAAACTTGTTTGCTAATCTTTTTGAAACAATGAACCTGCTGAATGATTGTCTTATTGGCAAGAGAGGCTAGGATCTTAACTAAAAGACAAGAGTATGTGAAGTAGACTAGGGGTGTGGTGAGCTGTGGGTGTTCTCTCCTGCTTGCTTCTGTTGTCTGAGTGAATTGGAAGCCAGGACTTCAGCAGGGAGTGAGGTTGGGGAGGAGGTGTCAGAGGTGCGAGGAGAGACTGGAGGATGTGTGATAGCTTCTTGGAGAATAGAAGAGCAGATGGCCTGGGAAATAGAGTGTGACTACAAGCAGCATTAAAGATGCCACTCATGAATTTAACATGAGGCCATTCTGCAGGGTTTTAAGTTGCCCTCTAGGCATATTCATGTTCATGAGCAGAGACACCAGAGTGAGCTGAGTATTGCATTTAAAAAGTTGAAGTTGGGGTTTGACAAAGTGAGCACAGTGATTCAAGGGAAGAGGCAAAGAAGTGATTAGAATGATTGAACCAGATGCTTCAGCTCAGTAGCAAAAGGAATGAGGAAATGTCCAGTGTGGGAGACAGAAATAAAGATGGGAGGATCAATGGATCCTATTATCAAAGGATGGATAAATTTGCAGTTGTAGGGGAAGTATGCTGTAGAGGTAGAGGTGGTTGTCAGAAGCTGGATTGAATGATATTGAAATTAGAGGGGTTGCCAAGTATTGGTAACGGTCCATATTTGGACCTTTGTGTGAATGGCTAAGAAGGGTGGAGGACAGGACCATTGGAGGAAAAGAGCCTAAAGATCCGAGAAGCCAGAGTGCTGGAAGAATCATCTCCATGGGTGTTGAAATCACTGACATTTAAAAACAGCTTTAGAGTGGGTGACATTGAGCCATTTTTTACTTCAAGAAGTGAAGGAACATGACCCACGGAGTCAGTAGATGACTGCATAATGGATTGGTGTAGTCTGATGACTTAAGATTCAAAGCTGGCTGTTTTTAGGGAGAAGAGAAAGAAGATATCCCAAAGGCCTCAATGAGGACCCAGGAAGACTTATGCAGTGTATAAGGAATGGGGGAGGGTAGGAGGGGAAGTGCTATGTGAGAGGGTTATGAGGGAAACTGTGTCTTCAGGTAGATGCAGATATTGATTAGAGCAAGTAGATGCAGGCAGCATTCAGAGAAGGGTTTGGGAACCTGGATTTTGCGGATCACAGGCCACATGACCTATAGGACAGGTTTCAAGAGCTAGGAAGGGCAAGGCATAGGGACACAAAAAGGGGTATGCAGATCTCTATATGACTAGAATACAGGTGATGGAAAGGCGACCAGGAGTCTAGAGCTTTTTAGGGTGGCCCATTAAATTAAGGATAAAGGGTAAAACGAGGTTAGTCCTGATGGTCCCCAGGTGGAATGAGGCTGTGAATGACAAAGGCAAGGAGGGAAGAGAGAGTCTTTTAAAATCCTCCAATACTTATAATACAAGTGCTCAGAATTTAAAGCAGAAAATGATCTTAGGAGGCCTTCTCCTCCTACTCTGTTTCTAGATTTTAGAAATTGAGTTTACAAAGAGCTAAATTGTTCCTGGTTATACAGCAACTTAGTGGATGAAGCAAACATCTAACTCAATACAAGAGGCCCCTTTCCCGTTTTCTTCCTTTCCTCTCCATTTGTTTTTCTGTTCTTTGCTTTACCCTTCAGCATTTTCCTTCTCTTCCCTCTTCTTCATTTATCATGTCTTGGGTCAAATGGAAATTCATGAAAATTATATATTTTCACATGGAGGATTGAGCTAATGCTTACATAGCCTGAGCTTAAATTTTTAGAATTCTGACACCTAAAAGGAGAAATATTGTGTGTCCAATTAATAGACACATCTAATTCTCAAGGATAATGGAGTATATAGACAGAATGCAAAACTCCTCTTGGCTTTATATTCAACATGAATCTGTGCCAGAGTTTCAGTTATCAATATTAGTATGTAACAAAATGTTCCTTTCTCATACAGAGTTAATCTCTCCCCTTCTGTGTCCTCAAACCACTTTGAATTTACTAGGGCTGTCACTTACCTCATATTAGAATTGAATGAGGCTGCCTGGCTGAGATATCTTCCATACTTGCTTCACAGGAGGGCCTCACCTCAGTACAATGCCTGGAACCCATCAATGTTTGCTGAATTTTTGCTCCCTCTAACATGGCAATCAAATGTTCACAATGGAGAAGCAAGTGTCTGAAGAATCCAAGTTTGTATAGTCATGGAGAATAGGCTCTAGGCCAGAGTCAAATGAGTTTGCCGCTTTCAGCATACCTTGGAAAAGGAGGGGCTCCGTGGGCAGCTTTTCCAGCAACAATGAGGAACATGCTTCCAGGGAGCAGGACTTTATGCTAAAGTCCCCCATAAAATAAGGTGTAAAGCAATTGAGTATCTTTCCTGAGAGTCCAGAATGGCGTTTTATGGTTTTTGAGGCATGGTCCAATTTGGATGATTTCATTTTAAAATTTTATTTACTTTTTTCTAATTTCAAAGTCCTTTTAGAAGACCAAAAGTTTGACCCTCCCTTCAAAAGGTTGATACCACTTCTGTGAGTGTGGCCTGGATTTATATTGTCTCTGACCTGGGACATTTAACTTTAACTGGCACCACTGCACACACTTGGGTTGTGATTCCTGCCTTCTCTTCCTCTTCTCTGGACTCCAGCTTGAGATCAAGATGGGTTGGCATTGTTAGGGTACCCCCTCTACAGATGACCTCCCACAGTCCCCCAGGAAGACATGGGATATTTTCACCAGCCTCATTCACTCACCAGCCTCATTCACTCACCTCCAGCAGAAAGAAGTGAAGTCCTCTCCATTTTAACTTAGCTTCCAGCCTGGTCAAGAGAAAAGACTTTCAGACCTCCCTCTAAATCAGCTGCAGTGATAGAAAGCAGACTAGGTAACTTCATCATGAGAGGGAAGGACCTCATTGCAGGAAACAAAAGTCACATGGGAGTTAAGACTCCTGAAAGAAGCACTTTTATTTTCTTCAAGAATTGACAAATCTCTGCCTCCTGTGATGTTTCATGCAAATGTTCTGACAGTGCTATTTTCCCTTCCCACAGGCAATGTGATTCGGCCAGCCAATGTTTCCTGAGATACAGTGTTGCCCTTTTCAGCAAATGCCAATTCCAAGTTCCATTTAATCAGAAGCTCCATGGCTCCGTGGCCCACAGTGTTGAGTGCTGACTGTGTGTTCTACTGAAAGAGTAAAACACTGCCTATCCAAAGAGAAATGGATATTTTGTTTTTATAATAACCATATATTATTGTTTTCTTCTTCCCTTTCTATGCAAGTGTAAATTAATGAACAGAGAGGTATTTGGAAATGGGAATACATTTGTCACGGATTTGTATAATGTATACAGCATTGGGAAAGTGGGTGGGGGCTTTCTAATATGATACCATCTTTTTAATAACTATGACAAAGCTTACATAAGAATTAGAAGACCACTTTACATTTTTACATTCCTTCTGCTGTTCTTATTAACGTTGCACAGTAACTTCACTATTTCTTTGACTCTTTCACCACAATGTTTTGGTTATTTATAATTTATCAGCCATATAACCAAATAGATCCCATGTATTTGTTTCCGTGATTTGGCCACATTAATAAATTCATAAATTTCGATCAAATATCTTATATATATACACATATGGTTTAAGCTACAGCCCTGTGTATGCCTTTTAACTTTATTTGACGTTGCCCATTTACTTCTTTGCTGTCCACTTGGATAACCGTAATAAAAATCCTATGGGCCTAAATGACATTTCTTTTGGGATATTTTTTCCTGCATTTTATTCCCTTTTTATGTAAGTAGGAATTAATTATTTATTTAATGTCTTAATCTATTTGATAAAGAAGACTACGTTATGATAATCTCAAAGATCATATTACCAAAGGTTGCCCACTTAAGCATGTTTTCATTTTGACACAGAAACAAACTTTAGTACAATCTTTCCTAGTTCCCATGTCTTAATTTTCATCATTATATGCACAGCACACCTTCACCTATGGTGATACCAGAACACATCATTGTCTTTAGTTTCCTTCAAAGATAATTTTATTGTTGTTTTGTATTTTCAAGTCCTTAATAGTTCTTAAATCTCCTAGTTGTTTTCTTACTGAAAGCGGCCACACATTTAGTGCACAGCTTGTTTTACCTTTTGGGTGAAAGATCAGATGTTTTTATACCCTTCACTTGATCAATATATTTGGAAAGAATGTTTATCAAATATGTCACTGCTTCTACAGAAAAATGAAATTAATGCTCACGTGATAGTACTTCCACCTACATCTTTGACTGCATTCAATTAAGTATTTTGGTTTAGCTTCTGATTTAATGTTTAATTGATTCAGTTTAAACATGTTACTTAATTACCAAATGTAGAGGAACCAAAAAAAAAAAGTGAAAATAATATGTGTTGATTCAAACATATTTGCTTTTAAAACATAAAGACATTTTAACTTTGGGTTCTCTTTAGCTGGGATCTGGCCAGAAAGAGGCTTAAAGTTAGAAATTGCTATTATTTTAGAATAGGTTGGGTGGGTTGGGGGGCAAGGGTGTCTATTTGCAGCAGAGATATTTTGAAAAGAAGAAAATTGTTTTATATAAAAGGAAAGCCATGACCACCTTTCTACCTCAGATCCATCTTCATCCATTGCATTGGAAACTGCTTTATGCTGCTGCAGTCTGCAAAGTCTACAGCTTTTATCAGGCCATGTCATACCCAAGAAAGCACCTATTTAAAGAAAAAACAATTCCCTGAACTCTCAACTCCAAGTTGTAGATTTGGTGTCTTCCTTGTTCCTACTTTAAAAAGTCATGTATTAATTTTCTTTCTGCCTGCATTTGTATGCAAAATGTCCTCTATCTGCTATTAAGGAAAAGCTACGTAAAACACTACATTGTAACCTTCTAAGTAATAATAAATAAAAAGAAATATATTGTAGTAACAACAATGGGAAGTAAGTATGTAGTTCTTTTGAAATATATGGTAAAGAACTAATCAGACTATCATCATCTGGTTACATATTGTATTTTTCATCCTGAATAAAAGTGATTTTAACACAAGATGACTTTGATATTCTTCAGCTGGGTTCACTGATAGAATCTGAGTTTTGAATGCACATTTATGAAATAAAGATATAGAGAGAGCCTGTATCTTGATGTATCTACATATTTTCCTGCAGTTTCTCTCATACACACTAATACAGTCTCCTGTTGCTCTTATTCCCTCTCTGTCCCCCATCTCTTACACATACATATAATTACATGATTCTCAATTTATTTTATAGATAGAAGGCTGTTTGATAAAAGTAATATTGGATGTAAAGATGTGTACATAAACCCTATTGAGTGTTTTAATAACTAGTTGCTATTGACATGAAGTTCCTTTCAAATCTACTTTTAGTTTCATGCTCTCAAATACTGTGTGATTTTTATCCAAACTAGTAGGTTTAATCAATTTCTGAAGCCATTCAGTGGGAAACAATGTTGAGAATCATGTTGCTTGATTCTAAAATTAAAAGCTGTCTATGAACTAGAAAAATCATCTAAAATATAATTTGTTAAAATAAAGAAGACTGATACATTCTGATGAACAAACATTTTAAACATCCTGTGTACCATTAAGTACTGCTGACATTAAGCATTCCTGAGAAAACACTTGATTTCTAGCAACTTGTTGACTAGGTAGCTGAAAATAGAAGTGAGAACAAACCAGTTTTGCTTTCATACTGCTGTGGTTTGAATATGTCACCCACAGTTCATGTGTTGAAAATTTAATCCCCAATTCCATAGTGTTGAGGGGTATGACCTTTAAGAAGTTATTGGATCATGAGGTTAGAGGTCATTAATGGATTAATGTCATCACAGAAGTGTGTTTGCTATCTCAAGTGGGTTTATTACGAAAGCATGTTGGGTTCTCTCACCTTCTCTTGCATGCTGTCTACCTTGTCATCTTCCACCACAGGATGACACAGCAAGACAGGCCTTACCAGATGCTGGCACCTTGATATTGGACTTCCCAGCCTCCAGAACTCTGAGAAATAAATTTCTTTTCTTTGTAAATTACCCAATCTGTGGTATTCTGTTATAGCAACACAAAATAGACTACAGACATATACTGTGCCTTCAGGTTGTTATATATCACAAATATATATATATATGTTACAATCAAGACACAGTATACTATATATACTGTGAAGGCATAGAGATAGATAGATGATAGATTAGATAGATATAGATAGATAGATAGATAGATAGATAGATAGATAGATAGATGATAGACAGATAGATAATCTTTGTAGTTTGCTCTTGGGTAGCTTTTCTCCCACCCACATTCACTGTTTCAGTATGCCAGCTTTTTCAGAGGCCTTTCTAAATTCATTAGTGGAGAATTTAATGATAATACAGTAAACTACCACTAACACTACTACTTAAACCTATGAGTAGGGTCCAAGAGCTTCACTGACATATAACATCAGCTTATGTTTTTGTGAGGTTAATTAAGTGACCAGAAGGAGGCTGCTACGGAGAGCAGGAGGTAATCACAATTACATTGCATCCACTGCCTGTGGTATCAGTTATGTATTGCCACAGTCATGCTGCATGGGAGCCATAAAACCCATTCATTATAATAAACATTTATTTAGCTTATGGTATATGGGGTTCAGCTACTCCAGGCAGACTCTTCTGATCTCAGTTAGACTTGCTCACACATTTGTGGCCAGCTTTGGATCACTTGAGGGCTCTGCTGATCTTGGCTGGGCTGCACTCAGGTCTGAGAGCTGACTAGCTGTTGACCAATGTGGCATGGTTAACCTAGGATGACTGGGAACACTTGGATGAGTTCCTTGATCCACTAGCAGACTAACCTAGGGATATTCTCATGCAATGGCAGAAGTGTGGGCATGCAGAAGGAGGCCTTTGCTGAAAAGTGGCACATCTTTACTTCAGCCAAATTCTGTTGGTCAAAGCAAATTACAAGTCTTGGTATGGGGAATACATTTCATGTCTGTACTGAGAGAAACTGTAAAAGTCCAGGACAAAGGATAGGTATAGCTACAGAAAGCGTAATGAATTGGTGGCCATTAGGTTTCACCATGTAAACCTTAAGATAGGCTAAGCGGAGAACTTGGAGCCAGAACATAAAGTATCCATTTCCTTAGGCTTCATGTCCACTGCTCCAGTGGACGGAAACAGCAGTAGCTTCTTTACAGGGGCGTCTTTTAAAACAAAGGTCAAGAAGATCAGCCCTTTCACTCCAAGCTAACAAAGCAATTTCAAAAAAGAAAAAACAAGTAGGAAAATTATCATGCCTGTGCCTAAAGTCCTAAGAGAAGAAGACCTCAAAACTTACAGCAAAATTAGGAAAAATAAAAATAGGAAAGAAAAGAAAACTATGTGAGAAAGGGAATAAAGATGCGACAATAAACTGCTCGGATGAACCTTTGTTCAGTTTTAATTGTTAAAAAATTTTAGTTGGAAGAACACACAACATATAGGAGGCTCCTCACTTTGACCAAATCAGTAGGGCACATGTGATACAGTGCCCCTTCCAAGGGGCATGTTTAGAAACATGAAATGTATTTGCACTTTGCATAAACTAACAAACTTAGCTCTAATCTCTCATTTTGGAGGCCTTCAAATTGTGGCATATTTTAGGGTATTTGCGGTTGACACATATGCTTAAATTCAGATATTCTTTTAAAGACAGCTGCTTTTTTGGTAGTTTTGAATTTTGTGGGTAATTAGGAGAAATGAACTGAAAATTTGCCTTCAGCTTGGCTCTGTTCTCATATATCTGTCCTCAGAAATCACAAATTTTGAATTTGTAATTGTATTAGAGTTCTCCAGAGAAACAGAACCAATAGGATAGATATAGATATGTAGAAAGAGATTGATTATGAAATATTGGCTGACATGAATGTGGAGGCTGAGAAGTCCCACCATCTGTTGTCTGCAAGCTGGAAGCCCAGGAAAGCTGATGGGTAAGTTCAGTCCAAATCCCAAAACCTGAGAACTAGGGGGACAAATGGTGCAAGTCCTAATCTCAGCCTAAAAGCCTGAGAACCTGGAGTGCTGATGTCTCAAGGCAAGAGAAGACGGCCTTCCAGGCTTACACAGGAAGACCAGATCTGCCCTTCCCCCCACCTTTTTGTTCTATTCCAGCCCTCAGTGGACTGGATGATGCTTTCACATTGGTTAGGGCAATCTTCTTTACTCAGTGTACCAATTCAAATGCTAATCTCTTCCACAAACATCCTCACAGACATACCCAGAAATAACATTTTGCCAGCTAGCTGGTCATCCCTTACCCCAGTCAAGTTGACACATAAAGTTAACCACCATAATAATTAAATGAGAAGAGTTTCCAGGTTGCCATGGGATGTAATTACACTTAGTCCTTGATATTATTTTTTCTAGGGCCATTTTTCAAAAAATACTAAAATATTGATTTTTAAATGTTTTGTTTGTTTCTTTGCCTAATTACGAATAGGAATTTCCCGGCTTCTCCTGTAACTGACTAAAACATCCAAGGCCAAGCATGGTGGCTCATGCCTGTAATCTCAGCACTTTGAGAGGCTGAGGCAGGAGGACCACTTGAGGCTGGGAGTTCTAGACCAGCCTGTGCAACATAGTGAAGCCCCTGTCTCTACTTAAAAAAAAAAAAAAAAAAAAATTGTTTTAGTTAGGCAGGTATGGTGGTACTTGCCTATAGTCCTAACTACTCAGGAGGCTGAGGTGGGAGGATTACTTGAGTCCAGTAGTTTGAGGTTACAGTGAACTGTGATCACACCACTGCACTCTAGCCTGGGTCACAGAGCAAAATCCTATCTCTAAAAAATGATAAAATATCCAGTTTGGAATGTGACTGCCATGTAATAAATAGAACTATAAGAACCATTTATTTTCTCTCCTCCAACTCCTCCATTTTGAAGGTCTGGCTCCTTTGCATGCAGGTAAAAGCTTCCTCACATTTCTCTTCAGATATTTTATTCTTTTTTTAAGAAGAACAGTGCCATAGATTGATTGTCACAACCTATTTGAAATATTTTATAACTCTATTCCTTTAGTGTTTTGAGAAAGCATGTACTAATTCTTAAATTTATTTCTCATAATATTGATAACAAAAGGAATTCTATATAGCAATTATCAGAAATATGCCCTGTGAATAGGAACTAATTCTCTTGAGATTAGTCATTAAGTATCAGTTCTCTTTAGTTTTATCACCAACCGTAGATAAATGGAGTTCCTGAATCAGAACAGCTTAGGACCAAACCCACACGTACAAGGACACCAGAGTGCATGTCACTGTATTTGTCCTAGCCTCAGAGACAAATTGTTTAGTTATTTTAACCTTACCTGGTTTTGCAAGTTTAAACACAGCTGTGTATTAGAGCAGTAAATTGTGGTCCTCATAGCACCCTCCTCAGAATCATCTGGAGTCTGGGCAGACTCTCCCCAAAAATACTGAATATGAACCTTCGCAGACCGTGCTCAGGAATCTGTGTTATATATGTCTGCTGGTTCCAGATAAATGCCACCAAAATAAGCTATTGACAGTACAAAGCTGTGCTATTTTTAAAAGCCATAAGAGAACAGTCCTTGACAGTTTTTGTGGCATCTCACAGGGGAAACGGCTTGATCAGGTTTGCATAAGGAGAATGCTGTAATAGTTGTAGACTGGAAGACATGGCAAGGCAAGGGTTTTCAAGCAAAGATTTGAAGAATCTTGGGGAAAAGAGCTGTTAGATGGTGTTGAATAATAGCTTGATGTTCATACAAGTGAAGTTTTAGAAAATTTTTGGAACAGATAATTAAGTTATTATAGTCATGATGTTGAAGACAGAGGAATATCAAAGCTATATTACTGAAGATAATGAACTCATAACGTCATGTCAATGTAGGGAAAGCTGCATGGGTGTAAGATGCCTTTGGTTCTCAGCTTCTTCAGCCTGAGTTAAAGAATAAATCATTAATATCTGGAGGCAGGGTCAAGCCACACCTCCACCGCAATTTGCAGTGTCATGATTGTGTATTATATTCCCAGGATGGTCTTTTCAACC